ATATATGCACATGTATATACATATAGATACATATGCATGGAAACACACAAAATATACATACAGTGTGCACACAGCATACCTAACATATACACATAATGTATATACATGTGTATGTATGCACATAATGTACACACAGTGTACCTAATATATACATGTACACATAATGTACACTATGTACTCTTGTACACACAATGTACACACAGTGTACCTAATATGCACACGTACATATAATGTACACACATATACATATACACACAATGTATAATGTACCTAATATACACATGTACACACAATATACACACATGTATACATATTCACACAGTGTACACAATATACCAAACATACACATAAGATACATATAATGTATACACGTACATATGTATACATATACGTATGTATCAATACAGATTTTTTTTTGAGACGGTCTCCCTATGTTGCCAAGGCTGGTCATGAACTCCTGGGCTCAAGCAATCTGCTCACCTTGACTTCCTAAAGTGTTAGGATTACAGGCATGAGCCACCACCCCCTGCCTCGATACAGATTGTTTTGAATATGGAATCATAAGAGACATATCATTTTGTAATTTGTTTTTTGTGACAGTAGAGTAAGCACAGGGGCAGGATCTCATAACTGTGCAGGCTTCGGGGGCAGACTGTGGAGTTTAGATCCTGTTTCTGGGGCTCAGTAGCTAAGCCTCATGTCTGAGTCCCAGTTGCCATCTCTGTAAAATGTGGGTGATAATAATCCCAATATAATTTGAGGTATTTGCTTTGAAGACTGAATGAGATCATGTATGTGACATGCTTACCTGCCACATAGCAAATGCTTGATAAGTGACTATTATTACCATGACAGAATCCCAACTTTTCAGGAAACAGACCCAGGACTCCAATTGCGTTGTTGGCCAAAAGCAAGCTAAGGCAGGTGTTTTTGGGTTGGGGCTTGGTCTTTTCAGTTCGTGTACCTGAATCATTCTTTTTCTATTCCTGAACAGGCTGTGAAGGAAATCCTAGACACGTGGGAAAATATGAAATTCACTGTAGTCAAGTATTACAAAGGCACACAGGAGCGAGGCTACATCCTGGGTTCTGTTGACGAAATTATTCAGTCTCTTGATGACAACACTTTCAACCTGCAGAGCATCTCAGGAAGCAGATTTGTGGGGCCTTTCCTGCAAACTGTTCACAAATGGGAAAAAACGCTTTCTCTAATAGGAGAAGTCATTGAGGTGAGAGAAAAGATGAACAAAAGATGGATTAGAGCCAGTGCATAGCAGTGGCTTTTATAGGAGGATATTTTGTGCTTAGAACTTTTATATGAGGATATTTTGTGCTTAGAAACAAATGATCCTCTTTCATGCCTTTTGTCTTGATTTATTTTGAGGGCAAGAGCGCATGATCAAAGGAATTGATCTAAGTTTTTATTTTAGTGAATGATTTTCATTTCCAAGATTCCTAATTGCTTCTTTTTTGTATATATCTGTTTTTCTTTGATACTGTCTTGTTCTTGTTGCAAGGATGCTTTTGCCTCCTTGATGACGCTGAAAATTAGAAACATTTATTTTACGTTCCTTTTCAGATTTCTCTACACTATTTTTTTAAATGCCTGTTGACTCTCTCTTATGGTGGTGGGTTTTCCTCTGTGTGATTTTGATTTTTTTTTCTAGCTCATCTCACATGTATTTTTTTTTCTTGTGTTTGCTTCACTTTGTCATCTGTTTTTGCAGCCTCTTTAACCTGGGGCCTGTCACACTGGGAAGTAGCAAGGTCTTATAGTAGGTGATTTGGGGCTTTCTTCCTTTTGGGCAACACTTGTCCAGACCTCTGTGAGCAACCCAGGCTCACTGCACCATTTTTGTGCAGCTGCCTTTTTTTCCTCCCCAGACCACAGGCAAGCACCTTGTTTTTGGCCATAATCCAAGCTTTGGGTGGGATGAAGCCAGGTCTGGTTCACCGGCCAAGTGTGTGATCAGGCCTCCATCATGCCTGGGCTTCCTTGCCTTGCTTTTTTGTTCATTTGTTTGTTTTGTCTATGACTTTGTGTTAGTGGAAGCTCTTATGTGGGATATAGCACTGTTTTTTAATTTGTGAGTTAAAAACAATTTTTTTTAAGATGCAGTCTTGCTCTGTTGCCCAGGTTGGAGTGCAGTGGTGCCATCTCAGCTCACTGCAACCTCTGCCAGCCGAGTTTAAGTGATTCTCCTGCCTCAGCCTCCAGAGTAGTTGGGATTACAGGCACGTGCCACTATGCCTGGCTAATTTTTGTATTTTTAGTAGAGATGAGGTTTCACCATGTTGGCGAGGCTGGTCTTGAAATCCTGACCTCAAGTGACCTGCCCACCTTGG